TGGGCCCGGGCGCCTGGAAGTTATATCGCAGCCACATCCCTTCTTCGAAAAACGCACCGACATCTGGTGAAAAGGAAAGGAAAGCGGAAATTGGAAAAGAGAAGTGAGAGGCAGGTAAAACACCACCAACGATTTCAACTCGGGCTGACGGTCAGGGCCGGGGCGGCCGCTAAGGAGGCCCACCGAGGACACGCTCTGGCGCCAGGAAGGGGTCAGACCGGGGCAGACAAATGTCATTTCATCAACACGAATACACCATAAAAAAATGATGCAACAACGTGGTGATCTGTAAATTTAAAATATAAAAGCAAAATTAAGAAACGTAAATCAGCCCTGGCCAGTGTGGCTCAGTGGTTAGAGTGTCAGCCCGCACACTGAAGGGTCCCGGGTTTGATTCCCGGTCAAGGGCAGGTACCTGGGTTACAGCTCGGTCCCCGGCCTGGGTCGGGAGGCAACCAATCGATCGATCTCTCTGTCTGTCTCTCTCTTCCCCTCCCATTCTCTCGGGAAAGCAATGGAAAAAGTATCCTTCGGTAAGGATTAAAAAAGAAACGTAAACCATGCCAGGAAAACAACCTTCATGTGCACAACTAGACCAGGCAACTAATTTAAGTTGACGAGAGACATCGAAACGAAGGCAGCGTTTTAATAAAAACCACCCATCCAAAGCGGGCACCATCCCCGGGCATCATCTTTGAGGTGGTTCTGCTTGGACATCCACGCACACAGGAGAGCCCCCGAGCAAAGCCTAAGTCCTGGGAGGTTTGTGGACAGTGTCTCAGATCACAAGACATGAAGCGAGAACTGGGCTCAAATTCGGCACTGCCCTCAAATAGCTACTTGGCCTTAGGGGAAGCTGCTTGACCAGCGTCTCTAGGCCTCAGTGTTTTATCTGTGAAAGGGAGATGGTAACTGAAAATTAGAAAAGATAACTTAAAGTAATTAGCACATAATAAATAGCACCTATTATTATTATGAAATTAGAAGAAAGGCCACTAACCCTCCATCAGTCTTTTCCTGTGGCCTAATCAGCGCTAATTGGTTTTTAATCATTTGCTGGCAGACCCGTGTTTTTTCCCCGTCTGCTCCGGAATGTTCTAAAACCAGCTCCGTACTCGCTGTGACACACGGAGGCCGCCTTCCGAGATCTGCGAGGTTTCCAGTTGCTGTTTCATTGCCTGCTACATGTCCCTTCTGAAAGCTTTTCTCCAACCTCTTTGCCCACGGAACCCATGTTCGAATCCCACTAAATTAACACTACGCAGGATGTATTTTGTGACAAGCTGCTCTACGTGGAAATTAATAGGAGGGACACACTTAAAGAGGATTCTTTTTAAAGTACATATATTTTTATTGTTGCCAGAATTACAAATATCCCCGATTCGCCCCGCACCCTTTGCTCCCCTCCTCCCTGCGGGACTTCTGAAGATTGTTCTTTTTAAGGAAGTCTAGCAGGGCCGGCAGGGCTCAGGGACGCAGGGTCTGGAGTCAGACTCCTGCGGGTGAATCCCGGCCTCGACGCTAACCGAGCGTGTTAATTTGGCCCATCGCGTGAAACTCTCTAAGCCTCAGTTTCCTTCTCTGAAAAATGGGGCCACGCAGGCTGCTGTGAGGATTAAGTAACTGGGGTATGACACTCAGCCCAGTGCCTGGGATATGTGATAAACGTTCAGTAAAGATCAGTCAGTTACATATCAAAGACAGGTTACCATGTTTGACTGAAGGCCACAGATGCCACCCAGCTGACGCCACTGCACACATGCAACCCTCCAGTGAGTCACCCTGGGACTGCTGCGGAGTCTGCCATGCTCACGTCTCCCTGAGTTACGGTGAAAAGACTTCAGCTGACTACAGGCTCTCAACTACGGGCAGTGCTATTTCCCTCCTGACCCTCCCGCCCCAAGAACTTTTACAAATGTGTGTGTGTATGTGTGTGGGGTATGCATGCATGCATGCATGTNTGAGGATTAAGTAACTGGGGTATGACACTCAGCCCAGTGCCTGGGATATGTGATAAACGTTCAGTAAAGATCAGTCAGTTACATATCAAAGACAGGTTACCATGTTTGACTGAAGGCCACAGATGCCACCCAGCTGACGCCACTGCACACATGCAACCCTCCAGTGAGTCACCCTGGGACTGCTGCAGAGTCTGCCATGCTCACGTCTCCCTGAGTTACGGTGAAAAGACTTCAGCTGACTACAGGCTCTCAACTACGGGCAGTGCTATTTCCCTCCTGACCCTCCCGCCCCAAGAACTTTTACAAATGTGTGTGTGTATGTGTGTGGGGTGTGCATGCATGTGGGTATGTGTGCTCATGCGTGCATGTGTGTATGCATGAATCTGTGTGTGCATGTGTGGATGTGCGTGTGCACACTCTGCAGGGGCCACGCTCGTGCACAGGAGTGGGAGGTCCCGAGGCCAAGCTGCGGCAGGGCCCTGTACCTGGTGCAGCGGGGAGCCCGGCGGGAAACAGTGCACGTTTCCCAGCTAAACTGGCAACGAGCAAGGCGGATCGCGAAGGGACATTCAGAGAGCTAAGGGTTTTAGATAAACAAACCAAAAGTATGCCACCGAGAATCCTTCAGGTGGATTTTAGAGTCATCGTTAACAAGCTTTATGGGTTCATGTCAGTTTTGGAGGAAGGGTTATCCCATGCTCAGGAGCATTACTCAGAAACCGCGTCATAAAGCAACCGTTAAGCCAGGGCCCGGGGGTGCCGTGGACCTTTTACGGTTCGAAGCGGCAGAGTTACAACTGCAATTTTTTTTGTTTCAGATCATTTCCAGGAAACGCCAAATTAGGGCACTGCAATATCACTGGGGAAAGAAATATCCCCAACCCTTCCGAAAAAATAACTGAAATAACACTAATTCAACAAGTCCCCAGTAACATCTCCCTCATTCAATGGTCAAAAAGTACTGATTCAGAAGAGTGGATTTAAGGTTTCTGTATGAATATGAGATGGCTTAAGTTTTACAATATTCACTTTTTGGGTAGAAAATGATACATTTTGGGTCTAGTTATTCTAAGACGTATGATGACTGCATTCCAAGATGTGCTACGAAAGGGATTTGTTGAGTTATGTCATGTTTCTCAGAATGTTGACATACATTACGTCACCTGTCGACTTAGGATCATGAAGGCGACAGGGACCGTGAAGCCGACACGTAATCTTGTCTTAACCTTTCTTAGCCCTCAGAATGGATCACGTGCAAACTACCCGATTGGGGAAGATAAGTTTGGAAATGTTCAAAATAAAATCCACAGACCATACATCCCAGAATAACACCATAAAGACATTTTCCCCCTTGTCCACCCAAATCCCTCATGTTTATGGTGGGGAAAAATGAACACACAGCCGGCACTCACCCCTGTGACTAATTTCCTCCTCTACTCTTTCTCCGCCAAGTTCAATAATTCTATCGTTTTGCCTTTTACTGAGGATTTCTTTTGCAACCTGTATTTTTTCAAATCGACATGGTTCTTTTTGTTCTCTAACCTCCCCACGAGGACCCAGAATTGAAAGTCCCCAACTCACAAATGGGCTGTTTCCCAAAAGTTTATTTTAAAGTCAGTAACTTGCAATTTGGAAATAGTTCCCTGTAGAAACAATGCTTTATGGGATGGTTAGCTTTGCCAGGAAAGTCTACAAATGCTGAATCACTCCGGATGGGTTATAAAATATAACCGAAGAGTGTCATTGGGTATTAGTCATTAAAAGAGCGATGGCAACTATAACAAAAGGGTGAGGGTTTAGTTTGAATATGAGAACTCCAAGGACCTTTGTTCCCACAAGGATTTCATCTCATGTATCCAGTGGTGCCCTGGCCAGTGTTCAACGGCCGACTCTCCAATGGGGAAAACCATGATTTGTAACGTTTGCCTATCCCCATGGTGTAAACACTCACACCCTGGCTTCTTTCAAGCTGCCAACATGACATCACTAAATATGGAGTGGAGAAGAGATGCTCACAATTGGTCTCCCAGCCTGTGAAATGCCTCCAGCGTATGCTCCTCCTCTACTCACCCAGCCTCTGACCCAGTCACTCATACAAACCATATTTACTGAGCCCTGCCTCGCGGCAGCTGTCTTAGTCAACTTCGGATGCTATGACAAAGTGCCATAACTGGGTGGTTTAAACAACAGAAATGTATTCTCACAATTCTGTTGGCTGTAAGTCCAAGATCAAGGTGGCAGCTGATTCTGTCCCTGGTGAGGGCTCTCTCCTTGGCTTGCAGACAGCCGCCTTCTTGCTGTGTGCTCACACGGCAGAGAGAGAGCGAGCTAGCTCTCCAGTGTCTTCTTAAAGCCTCATCTCTAAATACCATCATATTGGGGTTTAGGTCTTTAACATACATGGATTTGGGGGAAGACATATTCGGTCCCTAATAACAGACTTCCTTTTTTTCTCTCTTCTGCTGTACACAAATGCCGTAATATTTGCTTATTTACCCCTTCCTGCCTTCCAAAGCTCTCCCCTACCTCATCCCAGCTACCCCACATCCTGAAAACTCTGTATAGCTTCTGTAACATCTGGGAGGAACAGCTGGGGAGCTGACACTGAAGCATGAACCCCAGCCTCAGGGTCATTAAACTCTTTCATGGCTGAATTCCATTGCCCAGAACAATCACTCTCATTAACTGCTTTTAAATTTATTATCTAGTAAAGAAGTTAAGTGAGTTCTGTGGGGCTCTGTTCCTAGCGACATCGGACGTCACCTCTGTGCAGGCAGCTGGTTCTGCATTAGGCCTGGCTCCTTCCAGGGCCACCTGCAAGGCCCAGCTCTGTTTAAACTTGTTTCCCATTGTACTCCCAAGGCCCTGAAATACAATATTTCTCTCCTGGCCTTACATTAGCAAAATCTAGTTTTTTTTATCCCTGGGTGCTCCACGTTGAATTCCCTCTACATGTTTTATTCTGTTTGTTTGATGTTTTCTTTGATTTACTCTAATCATTTTGGACTAACAACACTGAACCTGGGGTGGGTTACTGTTCACCTGTGCTTGCTCGGTTTCCCCAGGTGAATGCACAGCCATTGTAACCACTTTCCCGCCATT